GCTCCTTGCTGAGCAGGGAGCCCGATGCGGGACTCGATCCTGGAACTCCAGGATCATGACCTGAGCCGAAGGCAGTCGCTTAACCAACTGAGCCACCCCAGGCGCCCGACTATGATTATTTTATATCCATTCTCTCGTTCATGGGAGTCTCATGTCAACGATAGGCAGATGGTGTTCTGCCTAAGTCTCAGCTGGGCAAACGGGCTCCGAGAGGTGAAGTATCTTGTCTGAGGTCATCCGGCTCGGAATTAGTGCGGGACTGGGCTTCCCCAGCACCCAGCATTTTCTCCTCCCTGCCACTGCCCTGCAGGACAGCTCCCCAGCGGCATGCACACAGGCCCCGTTCTCTGAAGGTCCTAGGAGGGACAGACAGTGGCTTCTGCATGTCTGGCTCCCAGCTCCTGAAGAAGCAGAGCAGAATCACATGGAAGCTTTTTACAAACTACTCCCCCCCCCCCCCCCCCCCCCCCTGGAGATTTTATACATCCCCCGCTGCCTCCCTGGGGTGAGAATCTGTTCTGGTGAGTCCCCATTGCTGATGGGAGTCTCTGCCGGGATCCAATTCTCTCTGTCTCATCAAGAGCTCAGAACTAGAGCCAACTCTCAGTCCCCCATGGGCCAACCACACATTTACCAAGTGTCCCAGCCTCCTGCTGCACCACCAGGAAACAGGAATCTGTCTGCAGGGGTCTTGCAGTTTGCTTGGGGAAGCATGAGAGTCATTTCAAAGTGACCCATTAACACGCTGATAGAGTGTGAACCCTGCCAAGACATGCTGAGGGAACAAGGCAGAAAAGAGTGACTGCAGAGTCTGGTCCCAGGCACCAGAGTCCTCGCCCAGTGCCAGTGCTGGAGAACAAGCCAAGGCTGCCACTAACAGGCACCTGCCCCGTGCCAGGCAAGATACAGCTCTTCCTCGCCAGGTCGGCCCTGTAGTCCTTTCAAGGAAGGGAGGGCCCGGCAGCTCCTCGTCTCCAGGCTCAGAAACGGGCCCAGAGATAGACAGCATTTATTTGCCAAGTAATGAAATCTCCTGTAATCCTCCATCCATTTCCCAGAAGGGGAAACTGAGGCAGGGAGGTCAAGCAATGTGCCTGAGGCTATGTAGTTAGTAGCCAGTGAGTGGGTAGCTCTTGGCTTCTATGGTAGGACAACAGGTGGGACATTTAGTTCCAGGAGGGCAGGGAAAGAAAATCACCAAGTATCAGCCTTGAACTGACACATAGGCAATGGGGGGGGGGAGGCTGGAGGTGGGGGTGGTGCATAATTTAGGTGCATAAGGATAACGACCAGGTTCAGGGCGTTTTCCCTGCGCGGGGGACTATCCTAAGCACATTACCCTGCGAACTCCCTCGGGATGCACAAGGACTGGTACAGGAGCTTGAGGGAGGGAGACTGACTCCCGTCTGCCTCGGGCCTTGGTAGAGCCTGGCCTGAGTTCAGGCGGGCTCGCAGGGGAAGGTGGCGGTGTTCTGTCGCTGGGAGGTGGGACTTGAAGGGAGGCCAGCTCTCAGAACTGGCCAAGGAAGTCCCGTGCGGGGAGAGCAGGGTGTGCAGTGGCGCGTTCACTCCACGCTTATTGCATGCCTCCCCTGTGTCAGGCGCTGGGGATTGAAAAGGGAACATGCTCCGGGCCCCCATGGGGGTATTTAACATGCAAATGTGCATCGTGAGCCTGCAGGGGCCACAGGGAGTCTGGGTGGAAACACCGCACCTGAGCTCCTCACAGTCATGGTCTCCTCTACGCCTCACCATAGAGGATCCCTGTTTCACAGATAAGGAAACTGAGGCACAGAGATTTTTTTTTTTTTTCCCGAGTAAGCTGCCAGATGCTACCCAGGTAGTCAGGGTTCGCACCTGCATAGGTCTGGCTCCCAAGCCTCCACCTTGCTGTGTACACAAGGTTCTGGGGAATGTCTTTTGAGGAAGGTGCTGGAATCGTGGTTAAGAGAGGGGATTGGAGCCAGTGGTCCTGACTCTGAATCTCACCTCTGCACTTTGCTTATCTTGTGATCTTGGGCAAGTTACTTAGCCTCTCTGAATTCTTTGTTCTGTTTTTAAGTTGGGTTTTTAAGCTCACCAAGAGCACCGTGACTCAGTGAGATTAGATAGGAAATGGAAAAAGCACAGAAAAAAACGTAGTTACTATGTAGAAGGCCCTCTGCCCGATTTCTGACGTTCCTCTAACATGTAGGAAAAACTTCCTGTTGGACTGCTTTTGGGGGTCACCTTTCTGGGCCTCCTCAACGCTCCCCACAAACAGTCTGGAGATTCTGAGCTAAGCATGGACACCATCCTTGCGCCCGTCAGGCTCTCGGTGCTGCAGGAAGGGAAGGGGCAGGGGGGCTGGTGGGCATAAAGCAGGGTGGCCTTCGGCTCGAGAGAAGAGTCCAAGAGCCCACTCACTCACATCTCTTCTTGGCCGCAGGGAGTGCCTGGAAATACCGGTTTGCCCGGACAGCCCGGGCTAACTGCGGAATTGGTAGGTACCAGCCTGGGTCACCGTGCAGCCCCCTCCCTGCCCTTCCCAGGGCTGACCTGGCCATGCCAGCTCCCTTAGCTGCAGTGGGGGCCCTCTTCCCTCCCTCCTGCGAGGCGGGGAGAAGCCAGGGTGGCATGTGGCTTCCTGAGGCTCCACCTGATCCCGTAAGTCTCAGTCCCCCTTCCCCCTCACCTGCCTGAGCCCTCCTGTCTTATCTCCTGCAGGGATCCTTACCAATTGAACAGCACCTCCTTAAGGTAAGAGGGTAAGAGGGAAGGAGGAGGGAGAGAAGGAGAGAAGCCTCCTAAGGGGGAGGATCGTTGTAGGATGTGCTCAGCACCGCACAGGGAGAGCTGCAGACGGGACCTGTTTGCAGGGAATGTGCATTCTCCAAGTGTCTGTCACACAGGGCCTAGCACGGTGCCTGGCGAGTAACAGACCCTCGGTCCTTCCAGCCTTGCTGAATGAGTGTTTGAAGGGATCCTGCCTAGGTACCCCCATGGTGGATGTTGTGGGCAGTTCCTGCCCCAAAGCCTGCCCACGGGAGCCACCAGTGAGGCCCTGTACCACCTTGGTCACACCAGGGCAGGGTCTAGTAGCTTCTAGAACAGAGCGGGAGGGTGAAAGTGCAGTTGTGGGGTCGTCAGGCAGGGAGCTGTGGACATTACTTGTGTTCTTCGACGAGATTGGGTTGGGAGGCTGGAAGAAGGACAGATTGACCAGAGGACAATCCAGAAAGAATCCAGGGAGGAGACAGGATTTCAGGAGCAGTTCTAGTGGTGCAGGGGAGGGGACTTGGGGTCCTGGCAGGGTCGGCCCTTGCCCGTGCTGCCAATAGCATCAAGATCACACTGATGGCTTTGGCCTGGTCTGGCCTCCCTTGCTCGGTCACCTCTGGAGACAAGACCCGGATTCTCCTCTCCTCCAGCTTAGCATCCTCTGGGGTCCCTCCAGAGCCCCCTTGTCCTGGTCAGCCCCTTGTCGTACCGGCTAGCCAGTGCCCCGGACCTCTCACTTCCCCCATGGGTCCCGGTCAGGCCAGAGCCTGGGGACTGCCTGCCCTGTCCCCCGCTCTGGACAGCAAATGTCTGCAGAAGCAGCTTGCAGTCGGGTTAACCTCCTGACAGCTGCTACAGGTGGGATCACAGTGGAGTGTGGCAATGAAACCCCAATTCTTCTCCCTGAGGCTCCTGGCAAGCTGGGGATCCCCCAAGTCCTGCCCCTGGGCACATGATCGCATAACCCCAAATGCAGGATTTGGCATGTTTCTGTGCCACATGTCATCTGACGGCCTCTTGACCAAGTGCTCTGTGGAGGACCCCAGACGGGAACCGAGTGTGGTCTGGAGAAGGGGTCAGAAGGCACCCGGGAGGAAGCCTGGGCCTGTGGCCCGAGTGTCAGCTCTGGCCTCAGCAGAGCGGGGTCCAGCACAGGCCCCCACTTACCTGAGACAAGTCGCGCCGTGTCTTCGAGCATTGGCTTTCTCATCTCCAGAATGCTTGCAAGATTACCTGCCTCACTGCACAGTCAGGAGTGAATGTGATCGTGTGCAAAGGCCTATTACAATGGCTAGCATCATGGGTGCTGAGTCAATGCCAACCATTATCCCTGGGCTGGGCAGTGAACAGTGACCGTGGAGCAGGGGCTCCTGCCCAGGGGTCCAGGGACACTCCTCCATGGATGGGTGAACCGGGGAACCCGTGACAGTCAGGATCTGCCGGGGCAGGAGGGCAAGCCCCATCCCGGAGGGTGTCTGCAAAGGGCCTAGTTCCTCCTGCAGCTACTCCTTTGCTCCCTTGGGCGGAGAAGCTGGTGTTTGGAGCCGGCCTTTTCAGCCCGAATCCTCGTGGCGTGTCCTCACAGTGGGGGCAGGTTGCAGGAACAGCCGGGACAGATGGTCCCTCTGCGGGCCCCTCCGCCTCCTCCCACGCGCCTGTCTGGAAAGTGGCTTTGGCTTGGCCCCACAGAGCTGCTTCCTGGAGGAAACTCAAAGCCAGAGTTGGGATTGGGTCTCCTGAGGATGGAGCAAAGCTGCTGCAGGGATGTGGCCGGGGGGAGAGAGAGAGAGAGAGAAAGCGTGTGGACGGGCAGGGTGCCCTGGCTGAGTTCGGGGTGGGGTTCCCCCATTTGGCCCACCCTGGCCTTCTGGGACCCATGCCCCGCTGCCCTTCCCTCTCTCTTGTCAGAGCCTCTGCAGGGACTGTGTCCAGGGGCAGACAGCCCGCCCAGTTGCGCTCCTGGAAAAAGGCGAGAAGGGAGACCAGGGTATCCCCGGCGTGCCAGGCCTGGACAGCTGTGCCCGGGTAGGGGGCTGGGCTCCGGGCTGGCCTGGTGTGGGCACAGCGCCCGGTGCCTCGCCTGACGGAGGGCCTCCTGTTGTCCCCCTCAGTGCTTCGCAGAGCGGGAGCGCCCAAGAGCTGAGGAGGCCCGGGTGAGTGGCCCCGTGCCCGCTGCTCGCCTGTGCCCCAGGCCCCATAGGGAGGGCCCTGGCTGCTCAGCTCACCGACCCCATCCCTCTCCAGGGAGACAGCGGCGAGGGGGATCCAGACTGTGCTGGGAGCCCCGGCCTGCCCGGTCCTCCAGGGCTGCCTGGCCAGAGAGGAGAAGAGGTAAGACCAGGGCCAGACCCTCCCTCGTCCAGGCAGGACCCCAGAGGGGCTGGTGTCTCCACGCAAGTGGCCCTCAGTTCCCGGGGGCAGTTTCATTCCTGCCCAGTGTCCTCCAGGGCCCTCTGGTGGCTCCCTGTCTCTTGGGAGTCCTTTGGGGGCCTCCAAGTCTCAGGTCACCTGGCGCCTCTCACGGCTGGGAGTCCCTTGCTCTGCTGGCACAGCAGCTGCTCCTGGGCCAGGGGACCCCCTTCCGCCCTGGCCAGCCACTCCCTCTGCCCTCAGCTCTTCTCCGGGGCTCGCTCCTTCACCCCTTCCACCCTTTGCTCAGATATCACCTTCTCAGGGAGACCTTCCCTGGTCTCTCGGAGAAACTGACCCCCCCATACACCACCCCTAGAACCCCTAGTTCCTTCCATGCAGTGCACGTGTCACCCTCTGAAGACCGTGTATTTCTTCATTTGGGAACATTCCACGCGCATCTGCTGAGCACCATGCGCCAGCCCCGGTTTTACTTGTTACTGCCCACCTCTTCCCCTAGAGCATCAGTGCCACACGGCAGGGAGTTTTATGTTTGGTTTATTAACTAGTGCCTGGGACATAATAGCTGCTCGATAAATGTTTGTTGGATGATTGAATGGGCTGAAAGAAAGGTTTAACCTCAGCTAAAACGGCCCTGCTGTGCCATCCCCCGCCCTCTGTGGACTCTGGCGGTGGCGAGCTGGGAGGAAGGCCGCAGAGACCCTGGGGCTCTGTGGGGCCTGAGCCTCTCCCTCCATTTCCCTTGGCTTCCTTTACAGGGTCCGCCTGGCATGAGGGGCTCCCCAGGTCCTCCAGGCCCTATTGTAAGTATCCGTGGTTTCCTGGCCCACTTGAGAAGCTCTCGAAGGGGTTGTAATGCCCAGATTCCATTCTGCTGCCTTGTATCCAGGAAGCTGGTCAGGGCAGAAGGAGGAAAATTCTACCGCCTGCCCCTTTCCCTCATCAGAACATCTGTGGGGACTGTGGACCCCACCACCCGAGCCCCTGGAACTGGCCTGCTCTGTTCCGCTCTGCTGGTGGTCCTTCTTCAGGGAGGCCCTCAAGGGCACACCCCTGGCTCCCCATCCCCATCCCTACACTGTCCGGCACAGTGGACCCAGGCTTCCCTGGCGGGAGGGCCTAGGCTTCTGGCTCGTGGTCTCGGCTGCCAGGAAAGTATGTGGCAACCCGACCAAATCTCTTCATGCCTCCGCGCCACCAGTCGCTAGGGGGGCCGGGGGCTAAGACAGAACAGCCCTGCGTCGCTCTCTAGGGCCATCTCTAGGACAGGTCTACAAAGGCCAGGCCAGGGATGTCCCCCCTGGAGTCCTCCATGGCGTTGCTATGGCGGGAAACTAGAAGTGCCCAGGAAAGACTGGAAGAACCAAAAATGCTTTCTTTGGAGAACAGGTGGCTGGTGGGAGCCGCCCAGCTGGGGGCATCTGGAGGTCAGGTGGCAGGCACGATGGGCTTGCACTCCAGCAAGGGTGTCCAGCGGGACTCAGGAGCACTCGGCCAGGGCCCTTGGACTCTGGGGACTGTTTCTCATCTCTGCTGATGGCTCGAGCCATTCTTCCTGGAGCCAAGGGGGAGGAGCGGGTGTCTTCATTGAGTCTCTTTTCCAGCTGCCTTGGAAATAATCCTGTGACCTCCTCTCCCCATGACCCCCTGCCCCAGACGATGCCCAGGGTTACTATGCCTATGAGTTGTGACCTGCCTGTTTCTCCCACCAGGGCCCCCCAGGTTTTCCTGGTGCTGTTGGCTCCCCCGGATTGCCTGTAAGAACCTAGTGCTGCTTGACCTCCCCTCCCCTTGCCAGCCAGGTCTCTGTGGCGTTTGCTTGTCTCCCTTCCTGTGGAGCCCTCGCCCCCCTCCTCCATGTTTGTCTTTGTCCCCCTGCAGGCACATAACGACACGGGTTCCCTGCGGTCCCAGCGGCTTGGACATCTTCCCAAGTCTCGGACTTCTTTCCCTTTTCCTTCCTCCCTCTGCTCCTGCTTCTTTCATCTTCTCTTCCCCCCCCAGCCCCCCACCTACAATCTCCTTTTTCTCTCCCCCAAACCCACATCACCCCAGGCCTCGGAGCTGTTTCACCTTCTTATTTGAAGCTGGTGCCTCCAGGGGCCTGTTGATTCCTCCCTTCTCACTTCTGCCTTCTGCTTCTCCCACCTTTGCTGTTGACTTGAAGATTTGCTGGAAGTAATTCTTGGGGCCCCTCCAGGCCCCTGCACAGAGCCCGGCAAGATGCCAGAGCTTTAGGGCTCCACACCGCGGGCTGGCACACGTTGCTGCCCCGCTGCTTGGCTGGGCCGCCCCGGGGCACCCCAGGGACCCGAAGGTAGCCATGCTCGCACCTTGCCCGTCGTCCTAGAGGAACCTCGCAGCTTCCTCCTCTGCCTCTCCTCTTCCTCGGCTCCAGGCCCCATCTGCTGCCCCAAGGCTGGGCGTGGGATGCCAGCCAGCTGGGTTTCTGGGTGTCGTGGGGCCCGGCACCCCCGTGCCCGGTGCCGTGACCTGCTCCTTCCGCCAGGTGTCGTTAATTGCTCTGCCTTCGTCATCGTCACAAGTGTGTTTAAATCATCCCCATCCTCACTGTTGCTCCCTCCTGGGTCACGGAAACTAACCTCCTGCTTGTCAGATTTAGTGTTCCTGGGGGCCTGGCTCCTCTCCTCCCAGGCCTGGCGGTGGAGGCTCAGGGAGCGGGGCCCCTCCTTGTCATGGCTCCATCTGTCCCCACGTCCTCATCCTGGCCGGACCTTGTCTGTTTCTGCTTGCTTGGGTGAAGGGGCCATCTGTCCGTCTAGCCATCTGTCTTGTGTTGTGGAAAGATTTGGGCACCATCTCTTGAGGGCACAAGGGAGAAGGGGCAGACAGAGCCCCTTAACGCTGTGGCGAATCCACAAAAGTCAGGGTGAGGACTGAGGGGTGGGGGGCTCTGGCTTCGATTGAAAGCGATCTCCCTTTCCACCCTAAAAAGTGACAGGGACGGCTCTGGAGGGAGCAGTCTGCCCATGTCTCTCCCCTGCATCCCTAAAAGGAGGTGATTTGTGGCTGGGGGTTGGGGGTGGGGTACAGGTAAGTGTTGGCTATCCAGTGATACATTTTGGTCGAGGAACATCATTGTAGGGATACCTCTCCTCACAGTTGCCCCTCAGGGGAGCACACACGTGTCAAACTCCTGAAGGTACAGCCCCGCCACTTACCGAAGTAGGGCACACCAGTGACAGTCACCTGCCTGAGAGGTACCCTCTGAGGGTCACCTACCTGGGGGGGCATATCTCCATAGTTACCTGTCTTGGGGGTATGCTCTTGAGAGGCACCCCTGTGTGAGAGTCTACAACTCTTACAGTTACCCTTCTGGGGTACACCCCACAGTCACCTTGCTGGGGACCTAAAGGGGGGGGCATCAGTGATTCCCAGCTCTGCCTGGACTGGGGACAGAAGGCTGCAGAGCAGGCAAAAGGAGCTGGGGGCTGGGTGGGGACAGCCCTCCCCGGCAGGTTCTCATGATTTTTTTCTCCAAGGGTCTTCAAGGAGAGCGAGGCCTCAGGGGCCTGACCGGAGAGAAGGGGGAACCGGTAAGAGGGGGCTGGCAGGGGAAGGCGATGGATGAGGAGCCCTGGGGAGGCAGAGGTGGGGCCCCCGGCGATGGCTGCTGAGTGGAAGATGGGAGGTGGATTCCTTTTGAAACTCACTGCCCCTGATCCCTCAGATCGAGGGTCTTCATAGCCCCTCGGGATCAAAGGAGGCTGATCTCTGTGTGCCCCAACCCCCTAGAAGGGGTGAACAGCCCTGCCCCCCCGGCTTCCAGCAATGTCTCCCGGCTCCTCCTGCCGCCCCTTCCATGCCCCATTTCCTCCACTCCCACCCTCATCCTCCCTGCTCTGGGCCTTTCCTCTGGCTCAGCTCCCAGGTCACGGCCAGGCAGGCACATGTCCCTGAGTCCTGGGCTTGTGGTGGTGGTCTCAGCCAGAGGAACCCCGGCCTTTAGGAGCTGGCCCAAGGTGGTGGCTGTCCTCGGATGGGCATGTGCTTGCTCAGTTGGCAGCTCAGGCATCCTGGTTACGGCTGCTCTTTGCCCAGGGAGGGGGAAACAGAAACGTTGGGGGGCTGGCCCGTAATGTCTCCCTTTCTCTGTAGGGTCCTCCAGGGCAACCTGGCTACCCAGGTGCCATGGGCCCCCCAGGACTGCCCGTGAGTAAGGGGATGCTGGCTCTGGGGGTAGCAGAGCCTGGGGGTGGGGATGAGGACAGGGCCAGGCTGTCGCATCCCCCAGCAGGCTCCTTCCCTTCCAAGCATTTCAGCCTGTGCCTCTGCCAGGCTGTCCGCCCCTCCGTCCATGCAGGGCTCCCCAAAGCCCCTGTGGTAGCGCAGCGTGGCCCTGCCCCTCCACTTCGGAGGTCGACTGCAGCCACTGCACCCGGAGGGCCAGACTCTCCGAGCACCCAGACCCCAGGACTGAGCTCTGCCTCCTGGGGGGGCGGGTAGGAGAGGTGGGAAGACCACGGGAAGCCTACCCCCTACCCCGGGCTGGAAGCTGCTGGGTGGGCGTGGCCCCGCTTTCCAATGGGGGCCGCAGCGGCGGGTGGGGCGCAGCCCCCCGCCCCCTCCCCCCGCCGTCTCCCCCCGTGCCATCTGCCTGTAAGTGCCAGCCTGGGCCAGCGGCAGTCTCCACCCCTCGCATTAGCGCCATGACAGTGGGCCACGGGGCTAATTCAGCTCTCTGCTCGCTTGTCAGGGCATCAAGGGGGAGCGGGGCTACGTCGGGCCCCCAGGAGAGAAGGGAGAATCGGTGAGTCGCGGCTCGGCTTGGGGCGGGGGCGGGGGGTGGGCAGGAGGAAGGGCTCCAAACGGAGCAGTCCCTGCCCCACGGCCACCCGAGACTTGCCTAGCAGCCTGCGAAGGAAGAGACCTGACCCCGCTTCCCTGCCCCCTGAGTCACTCCAGCTGCGGTGCAGGCAGGCGGTGCAGGCTGTTTACCGCGGAGGCGGAGGCGGAGGCGGAGGCAGAGGCGGAGGGAAGGCTGGAAGGAGGGTCGGAGCGGGTTTCGTGGAGATGGGCGGGCCAGGGCTGCCAAGGGGTGGGGAGGGGTCGGGAAGAGTCAGCCAGCAGGAGGGCCTCCTCTTCCCCTGCAAAGGCAGGTGGGCGGGCAGGGCAGGGCAGGGAGGGTGGGGGACCCCAGACCCAGCTTGGAGCCTGGCCTGACCCGCAAGCCCAGAGCCACCTTTCCAGGCTGGGTGAGCGCGGGGGCGGGGGCTGTTATCAGGTGAGGCCATCACATCGGAGAGGTTATCCCGAGGCTCAGGAAGTGACATGGCTCACCCAGCAGGCTGCCGCGAGTCAGTGAGTGAGTTAGGGCAGCGCGTGGACTTGCACCCGAGTCCCTCTGTGACCAACCTGCCAAAACCTTAGTCTTCCCTTCCCCTCACACGTCAGTGAGGCCCGGGTGGGATGTAGCCGACCCCCTGTGCATTTACTCAATAACAGACATTCCTCAGGGGCCTTCTGGGTAGCAGGCTGTTCTGGGGATGCCACAGTGAATAAAACAGGCACCTGTGCCCCTTGATCTCAGGAGCTCACATTCCAATGAGGGCGGTAGATAACAGATGAATAAGCTAATGCATATAAATGAGAAAGCAACGGAGAAAAGAGAGCAGGGTAAGGGGCCAGCTGGTGTACAGGGTGCTATTAGAAGGAGGATCGGGAGGCCTCTCTGAGATGGTGCTGTTGGACCTGAGCCCCGAATAGAGTGGGGGGTGGGGGAGGGCACATGGTTATCTATCCTGGGGAATCCCAAAGGGAGTAGGTGGGGGCACCTCAGGAAGAGATTGGAGCCATCTAATCCCTTGGTAAGGTTTTAAGAGCCCCAGAAAGGGTGGGGGAATGGTAGGCATTCTAGGGAGAGGAGGCAGCTGTGCAAAGGCCCAGGGGTACAAACAGCCATCTGACCAAGCAAGGCAGAAGATAAGACGGGGAGAAGGAAGTGAAGCAGGAAAGGGTGGGTGGTACTAGATCACAGGATACCTCAAAACCCAGCACTGGTGGAAAGAATGTACCTCATTCAGTTGGACAGAGGGGAGCCATGGAAGGCTTTGGAGCAAGAGAGTGTTATAATCGGAGCTATGCTGGAGAAGAGGAGATGGCAGCCAGTTGCTGGCTGGATTGAAGTGAGCCAGGAGGTGACAGGACTAGTTAAGAGGCTGATTCAATAGCTCAGGCAAGAGAAGGGAAGCTGGAGCGAACCAGGGAGAGGAGTCCTGCCGGCATCCCCATCTACTCTCTGTTCCCTGTTCCCTGTTACCTGCCCCATCCCCTGATCTCCCACCTCCCCCAGTCAGAGTGATTGATTCTGCTCCTTGGTGTCCCCAGGGCCCACCAGGATCTGAAGGCCTCCCAGGTCCCCCAGGCCCAGCGGTGAGTGATGGAGGAGACAAGGAACTGTGGACATGGGGACACCGGGTCCCGGTCCAGCCCTGGGGTCTAGGGGAAGAAAGACTGGGTTCCAGCTGCCTTGTTCTCTATGGTGACAGGGTCCCCGGGGAGAGCGAGGACCCCAAGGAAACTCGGGAGAGAAGGGCGACCAGGTGAGTGACCACAGGACCTGGCTGGCTGTCCTGACCGTGGGGGAGGGCTGAGAGGGGGGATGGGCACAGGGAAGGGGCTAGGTCCTCTCCCTGGTGGCCACCCTCACATGTGGAGGGGTGACCAGCTCTAGCCTCCAGCCCTCACCCGTCCTTGAGTTGTAACCTCCCACCTCGTGACTAGAGCTTCACCTGCTGGTCATCTTGGGCAGAGTGGAGGGCAAGGCCCCATGGCTCAAGGCAGCCTCACTCTGTCACTCTTTCCATCTGGGCCGCCAGGAGGGAGAGAGTGGGCGGCACAGCAGACTGTCCCTTGCTTCTTCCCCTAGGGATTTCAAGGCCAGCCAGGCTTTCCCGGCCCACCGGTGAGTGAAGACACAAAGCCAGCCCTGTCTGTGTGATCCTATTTGGGAGGGGCAGGCCTGACCAGGCCAGGCTGGGCTAGGATGGGCCGGCGGAGGGGAGGGAAGAGGCATGGGAGGAACGGCCTGGGTGGCCAGGCCTGATTCCAGGAGCCAGGACCTGGAGGGCAGAGCCTCCTGGGTGGGCCCCAGCGAGCAGGCCAGCCAGCAGTAACGCTCCTAGGTGGTGTTTCTAGGAAGTCAAAATGCATCAAAATGCATCATATTAACTGTAGTGAAGCAGACCCAGGAGGAAGACGGAAGGGGAGCTCCCCCTCCAGCCCCATTCTCATTTCCGCCTGCTCCTTTGTTGATACAGGGTCCCCCTGGATTCCCGGGCAAAGCTGGAGCACCCGGCCCACCCGGCCCCCAAGCGGAGAAGGTGAGCGGGACCCCAAGTTGGCCACAGCCACAGATCTGAGCCCTGCAGCTCCCACACCCCATCCCACCCCTACTACGGGGCCTTTGGAAATTCAAGGACTGACTCCGTTTCCGTTACGTCAAGGGTGGGGAAAGAGACCTGCAGCATAGATTCAGCAACTGCCATAGGGCGACAGACCCGTGGCCCCAGGATGGCAACTGTGCTGCGCAAGTCCCTGCCCGCTGGGAGCAGGGGGTGGGCCAGAGGCAGAGGGGCGCGCGAGAGGTGGTGACTGGAGCGCAGGGGGCTGGATTCATCTCCAGGGGGGAGGGGCCAAGTGGAGGGGGAGGAGCCGAGGGGAAGGGAGGGGGAGGAGCCGAGGGGAGAGGGAAGCGCATCCAGACTGCAGAGCCCGAACCCGAAGCCCGAAGCCCAGAGGCCTGAAGCCAGCGCCGCTCTGGCCACTCACCTTCTGGGTCTGACAACAGCAGGAACGGAACATGTGCAGATTGTCCCCAAGGGCCCAGAGAGGACAGGCATGGCCTGTGAGCTGGTGACAAGGGTCGGAAGGAGCGGAGGCCTGGGGAGCCCCCACACTGGCTGCCCCTGGGCTTGACTTGATAGTTGGTCCAGGGGCTGACATCCCTGTCTCATCCCAACCTCTGGGCTCCCCAGAGGTGATGGCTGGATAGTATAATGAGGCCCCAAATTGACTTCTAAGCTTGGGGTGGGGGGCTTATAACCCAAAGGGGGAGGCAGGAGGCCTGTAACCTCGGGTGGAGCCTCTTTTCTCTGAAAACACACATAGCACAACAGTCAGAGCTGGAAAGGACTTCTAGAAGGGCCACCTTGGTCTAACCTCTCACTGTGAGGCAATGAGGCCCAGAGAGGCTGAGGGCATCCCAGGGGCACACAGCACACAGCAAAATAGCAACAGAGCTGAGACTCCTCCCAGCCCAGGATAGCGCCCGGGCGCCTCGCGGCCTTCCCAGAGCCAGCGCCTGTCAGCCACGGTTGAGGCGGTGGTGGGAGCCACCACCCTTCCCTTCTTTGGGGAAGACCCGGGTGGCAGCCCCTGCCAGAGCCCTCCGGGCTGGCTCTGTACTCCAGTGCTGCCTGCTCTCCTTAGGCTGGTCACTGCAGAGAATCCCAAACCTCTGGCCAGGGGTTCTCCATCTCCACTCCCTGTGGGACTGACATTTTCTGGGGCTGTGCTGACCCCTCCTGGTAGCCGGTGGCATTGCAATGCCACCCGGGGCTCTCCTCCCCGCCCCCCCCCCCCATGGGGGGTCTCTAGCGGGATCATTTTCACCTTGGCTGGTCCACAGCCACGGCTCCAGAGCAGCCACTCTCTTCGCACTAGGGTACGCGGCAGCCCGCCACACCAAGCTGCCCCCCTTCCTTCTCTGGTAAACATTCTAGTTCACACGTTGATGCTCATCATCCCCCTGCTTTGAACAGTCAGTGGCTCCCCAGTGCCTGTGGCAGTGGTTCCCAGACTTTATTTTGAAGTCCTTGAGCCCTTTCATCACACAGAAGCTCACAATGTAGATAACATATATGAGTGGAGCTGCTCTGGCTAAGGCAGGGGCAGGGGTCTTGGGTCCCACCCTCTGGGCTCCCACTTCGTGCACCCATCTTTGATGCTCCTCCAGGAACCCCCAGGGCTCTGAGAAGTACAGTTTGAAAAGCACTGGTCTGTGAGATAGAGTCTAGCACAGTGTTCGGGGCCCTCCCCCCATCAGCCTCTACCTTCCTCCAGCCTTGCCTCCCACCCCACCCCTCACATGGGCTCCCAGACACCCTGGCTAGGCCAGGCATGGGACCACTTCCAAATCTTCATCCTTCTCTGAAGTTCCCTCTGGCATGCCCTCTTCTACTTCCCCACTTGCCCACATCCCGGCTATCCTTCAGAGTCTAGAGTCTGGTGGTGCTTCTGTGACACTTCCCTTGAGCCCTGGCCAGAGTGAGCCGCTCCCTCTTCGGAACGGGACTATGAACTTCTTGAGGACAGCGGCCACCCTTTTTTTCATCTGGGAGGATCAGCGGCTGTATAGTGCTTGGCACTTTTTTGGGACTGATGTGAACTGAACGTATGCCTTTAGTTGGCACACGTCACTGAACACCCACTCTGCCGGCCCCTGGGTCAACCCTGAAGAAGACGCCAGACCGAATAGGCTCTGTCCCCTCCTCATAGAACAGTGTGAAAAGGGGGGTGCTTTGCAAACGAAGACAGATCCTCTTGGGGGAGTGGTGTGGAATATATCCAGTTAGGCCAGAGCAGAACTGGGGCTGGAAACCAGCTGCCCTGACTCCCAGTAATCATCAGAACCCAGTGCCCAGCGCCTCGTCCCAGGGCGGGGCAAGGCCCTGCTGACTTTGTTGCGGGGGTGGGCTCCTTTCCAGGGCAGCGAAGGGATTCGAGGCCCACCAGGCATGCCTGGTCCCACTGGACCACCAGGATCTCCTGGGATTCAGGTGAGTGTGTGTCCTCTTAGTGTGACAGGTATGTGCTGTGCGCATGTGTGTGCATGCGTGCATGCACGTGTGTGCATGCGTGTGTTTAGTTGCGGTGGAAGTTGGGTGAGGGGTGGACAGGGTGGAGGGGCTGGGTCAGGTCTCTCACCTCCTAGGGCTCCAGCACAAGCATGCATATATGCCTTTTTCCTGTTTCTAGGGCCCTGCTGGTCTGGATGGTCTGGATGGGAAGGACGGCAAGCCTGGCTTGAGGGTGAGATGATAGGCACCTCCTTCCTTCTTCCTCCAGGAGCGAAAGTCAATGGAACCCCAGTGAAGGAAACCGAATCCCCCGACACCTCTGCCTTCCCTCCACCTGCTTCTCACCACTTCTCTGATGGCTCCAGGGCCCCTTGGTTCCTCAGTTCTCCTGGTAGCCTTAACCAGGTTGCATGAGCTGGGTGTCACCAAAGGCAGGCAGCCAAGGGAGTGGATTTATATCCAGAAACTCAGGCAACTAAAGATACTAGGCTGGGTGTCAGGGAGAACAGGCTGTAGGCACGGAAGGACTCGAGCAGCCCTGGCTCCATGGATCTGGTTTTGCTGGGGAATCTGAAAGGGATGGGGCATGGCAAAGGGCAGAGCACCAAGGCCAACCCCCTTTTGTACCCAAAAGAGGGAAATTGAGGTTCAGAGAGGGATTCACTCAGGGTCCACAGCCAGTCAGAGGCCGAGCCCAGCTTAGATTCTTCCCTCTGCCTCCCGTGACATTCCCTCCATCCTGGGATAGCCGGGGAGGGGCGGGAGAGAGGGAAGACAGTGGTGAATGAGTGGGCATCCTGTCTCATATGCCCCTGGTCTCTTCCCTAGGGGGACCCTGGTCCCGCTGGCCCCCCTGGACTCATGGGACCCCCGGTAAGTTGAGCTGCAGGAAGGAGCGGAGAGTGGGGAGGTCCCAAAGCTGAGCAGGTGTGGGGTCTGCCTCGGTGGGTGGGGCAGCTCAACTCCAGATCCTCCGAGGACCATGGTATGATTCTGGATGGGTCTGATTTCTTTAGCCTGAGGACGGAGGCAAGGGAAGTGGCCTCTGCTTGGGGCGAGGGCCCTGGCAGCTTCCCGCTTTTTCTTCCAGGGCTTCAAGGGGAAAACGGGACACCCTGGCCTTCCAGGACCAAAGGTAAGGAAGGGCCTGGTGACCTCTGCCAAGCAGGTCTTCTCGGCTCTCCTCAAGGCCTGACCCCAGGCAGACAGGGCAGCCCAGCTGGAGTGCCCGCGCCACCAGAACCTTGGCGGAGATGCCATGCCAGCATCTGAGCCCCCTGAGCCACTGGTGCCAGCAGAGTGGGTCAGGCTTCGCCGTCTACCTGCCTGAGGGCATCAGAGGGCTGCTGGCCAGAGCCGGGCAGGGGGCAGGGCTCTTTGGATATGGGGTCAACTTGGGGCTGGAGGAGCCAAGTCGAGGCCTGTCGAGCTCCAGTTGGCCCGCTCTCTTCCAGGGCGACTGTGGAAAACCGGGTCCCCCGGGCAGCAGTGGCCGGCCCGGATCAGAGGTAAAGGCAGAGGCTCCCTTCAGACAGCCTCTGGGCTCTGCTGAGCCCGAGACACAGCCGCTCCCTCCCTCTCCCTGGCCGCCTGGCTGCCTTCTCTCCTGGGCACATTTTGCCCCCAAACTGCACACCTCCTCCTTCCTGCAGCCTGTTGGGTCCCTCACCTAATAAGCCGAGCCTGGCTTCTCGGGCTGGGGGCTCTGATTTCTCTCTCCAACAATACTCATGGGCAGGGCTGGTCCTCGGGCCCTGGACAGCATGGGCCTGGAGGCCAGGACTCAGCCCAGCGTCTCTGACTATTGCCGTCCCGTGTGCTCTGCTCAGCCTTCTCCCACCTAACGACCCCGTGCAAGTAAGTCTGCTTCTGTGTTGCTTTTTTTTTTTTTTTTTTTTCTGGCTCCTACAGGGTGAGCCTGGTGCCATGGGACCTCAGGGAAGACCCGGCCCCCCTGGCCATATCGTGAGTTAAACCGTTCTTGCCCCCGCCTTTATGAGAGTGAGGGCTCTGCTGGGGCTAGGGTGGGCGAGGGCGATGGCCTGAAAGAGCTGACCCCAGGCGTAGCCCCATAGCGCAGTGAGGGGCTCTGGGCCCACCTCATCCAGTGGCCCCCAGGCTCTTTGCCGTTTTCTTATTTTCCGGGCACATTTGAGTTTACTCATCAAACAAGGATCATTCAGTTATTCAACAAACAATAATCGAGCACCTGCTCCATGCCAGGCACCGCTCCAAGCGGGGGACTAAGAGTGAGATAGACAAGGTCCCTTGATCCCAGAGCTTGCACACAGGCATAACAAACCAACAGATTAATGCGGAAGCGTCGGGCAGGGATCTGATGTCACAGACAGGGCCTGGGAGGCGCCTTTAGATGCACCTTTACTGCCCAAGTGGCATTTGAGCCAAGGCCTGAAGGACAAAAGGAGCCATCTGTCTAGCAGTCTGGGGGAAGAATGTCCAGGCAGGAAAGCAGGGTGGGGGTGGAGGGCCACTAAACGCTGAGAGCCTGAGGCAGGGAGGGGCCTGGGGTGTAGGGGGAGCCCCAAGGTCAGTGTGGAGTTTGACAAGGGCGTGAGTGAGAGCAGGAAAGCTGTGCTTGGAGAAGATCTGCTGCAGACCTGGGACCTTGGGGGTGTGGGCAGGAGGGGAGGGGCGCAGGTGGAAGCGGGGATGTCCCTGAGGGATGGGGTGGTTGCGGTGGAGTGGTGGTGGCAGGCAGAAGGGCTGTGTTTGGAGGACTTGCTGCCGACCTGCATGAGGGAGGGGCGGGGAGCGGGAGCGGTGGCAGGGGGTGTGGAGGGGGATGACTCCTCCTCGCCCGGGAGGCCGGGTGTGTGGGTGGTGCACTTACAGAGGTAAGACAACTTGGAGAGGACAGTTATTAAGCAGTAATGAGTTTCCCGTCTGAATTTGCTCCTCAGTAACATAGATGGCTGCCGACGGGCGCCTTTGATCAGTGTGATGCCCCGAGCGGATGGGGGTCCTGAGCAAAGGAAACACTCTGGCGTTTGAGTGCAGGACTCTTGTGGCAGATGTACCATTTCCAAGGGGCTTCTGGAAATGTTAAAAATAGTTCATGAGCAGAAAGAGGAGCTCTCGCGTCCTCATCACCGTGTGTATGGATCTCGAGGGATCCAGAGGCCCTGGTTCGAGGACTCTAGGTTTAGCCTAGTCCCTGCTCACATTACACATGAAAGGAAGTGCACACTCTGAATTGTGAGCCCGTCATGGACTCACTGGGGGCTGGGGAAAGGGGACGCAAGTTCCCCCCCCTCACTTCTGTCTGCCCAGCCTCAGCCCCTGCTCTGTGTCAGTCCCAGTGCTGGGCATTCCTGCCCCAGAGGTCTAGAGTGGGGTAGAACAGAGTCCATGCCTCCAGAACTTTCCATCTGGGAGCGTGGAGGCAGGTGCCGTGAGAGAGGCCTGTGTGCCCTGGGCTTCAGAGAAGGTGTAGCTCTAACCAGGGAGCTGGCATTTGAGCTGTGACTCAGAGACGGGGAGGGCATTCGGGCACTGCCTCAGCCCAGCAGGGTGGGAGCACCCCCACGAGTTGAGTCCCATTGCCCTCCAGGGGCAGCAGAGCAGGAGACCAGGGAGGCCCAGGGTCCGAGGGCCGGCCTTATCCGTTTGGTCTCTGGGGTTGGGGTTGAGCCCCTGCTACGCAGCTCCCAGCTTCTGCTCTTTGCTTCTCCCACAGAACAGGAGGAAGTGGGGGGCCTCAGAAGACCCCAGGCCCAACATAGTTAACCTTCAGGCCTTTGCCCTCTGCCCTCAGCTCTGGCCGTGGTCCTGTGAGCTCAGGGACCCCCCAGGTGTCAGCTCTGGCACAAATCTCTTGGTAGAAGCTCAAGGGCAAGAGCAGAAGGGAAGGAGGGTTTAGGGAAGAGAATGGAGCTGCTGAAGTTCCATTATTACCTTATTACCTGAGACTCTTTCCATCCCACTGACTTCATTTTTCTTTAGGGCCCACCAGGGCCTCCAGGCCAGCCGGGCCCCGCTGGGATCTCTGCAATGGTGAGTGGCCTGCTCCCCGCGTCCCTCCCTCCCGGGAGCCTGGCTGGGAAGAGTCTGTGTCCATCCCCCTCCTTCCCTGGCCTCAGCCTCTCCTGCCTCCTGTGTCTCCCCAAGTGGCATGCAGTGAAGGCCTTTGGAGGGGCCCTGCTTCAGATTCACACAGCGCCGCCCCACCCCACAGGGGTCCCTGGCACACAGCAACACCTGCCTCTTCTGTGTGGGCTTCACTGCTGCCTCTCCTGTCCCCTCTCACCATCCACCTCCTTTCTCTCCAGGGCCTAAAAGGAGATCGGGGAGCCACTGGAGAAAGGGGCCTTCTAGGCCTTCCAGGCCAGCCTGGCCCCCCCGGACACCCTGGCCCCCCGGTAAGACCCCACATCTCACTGCACAGCCCCGAGGAAGAGGGCCAGTCTGCGCGTCTGGGGTCTCCAGGGAAGGAGAGGCTGTGAGCAGGGAAGCTAGCAGCGTGGGGCTTGTGCCTGAGGATCACGTCATATCTGGAAGAAAGGACAAGCCCTGCCAGCCAGCGCTTGCCAGGCGTGCACCGGGCCTCCGCCCCTGGCCATGCACCACTTGCGCCGACCCCTCGACCTGGTGTCAGGCAGGGGAGACCTGGCACCTGTTCTGCCCCTGCCCCCTGCCCCCTCCCCGGGGGAGCTGGCTGGTAACCACAGAGAGTCTGGGAACGTCAGGAACCAGAAATGCAGCGCCATTACCGCAGCCCCCTCGGCAACTCAGAAGCCACTCCTGGTCTCAGCTGGCGCTTCATGCTCTGAGAGCCGTGATGCATTGGCCACGGACAGTGTGCTGAATGGTGACCTAAGTGCTTGACATTTTTTTTTTTTTTT